GAGAAGAAAATTATATATTAGTCTTTGCTGTTCCAGTGTTGACATTCTGTAATAAAAACCAAAAATACCTATATCCTGTATTGATATTTTAAGTTACTTTCAATATATTTTCCCAATATATATCATTATCCTGATCTACTGGGCAATGATTACTTTCCAGTTTATATTCATTTGTACCTCAAATCTATTATAAACATATACATATAAATACATGCTTGGCTTTCACATTCATCATTTCTGAGTAGAGATTTGAAAAAGCATAATTATTCTTCTTAAACTTATTATGTGGCTGAGATTTCATATAAGTCTCAAAAACACATGCTGATTTCATTTTGGAAATAATGAGTGCAAGAAACTATAAATAAGATTTTGTTACTCAAGAGGATTGGGAAATAAATATTAAGCTCAAATTGATGTTGTTATTAGCCTGTATGCATAGGCACACATGATAGTCATCTCATCATCTTTGAAATAATTTTTATTAAAAAATAAGACATTATTGAATATCATTAATATTGAAAATCTAATATCTTTCACAGAAATTTAATTTCCTAACATTAAAAGTATATGAACTTTCATCTGAATCCTTATACAGTGTTGTCCCAGTATGCCATCCCATCTTCACAGTAAACTCTTCCCCACATAGAGAAATTACTGTATAGTATATTGCAGGTATAGAATATCATTAGGGAATTACTTTGCTTAATTATTATTTCTGATGCTACTGTGCACATTTTGTATGGTCCTATACCATTTTGCTAGCTTCCATTTTAACTTCTTTCTACTTTTTGTGCATTAAAATCCTCTTTCCCTTAACCACTTCCTTATATATCAACGATGTCAGGAAGAGAGGAGCATTGCCTGAACATCTCTACATTTGGCAAAGATGGTCCCATATCCTGCACATGGCAGATCAAGGTTACCTTTTTGCATTATAAACTATGGAGTTCTAGACTCAAGAGCTAAAGAACTCCACAGTGGATTGTCTATGTTGTCCACAATGGATACTGGATTAACTGTCCCTCTTGCAGGGTTGGGACATGGGACCTTTACAGGGCAGGTACATCAATGTCCAAGTACTCATATATAAAGTTATTCCTCTATTTTAGGAATATTTGCATCAGTCATAGGAGTGAACTTTTGTTTCTTTGTTACAAAGTAGCTAGAATGCTCTTACTGGGTGCCAATACCTTAATGTTGAACTTTCTAGTATCTAAAATTGTGAGAAATATATTTTTAAATGAAGTACACAGATTGTTGTTATAGGGTAAGAGCACTTAATCAGACATACTTTAATATAAACTGTTATTATTTAAAGATTGTTAATCATAAAGTACATTTAGTGATCAGTGGGGAAAATGTCTGTAGAAACTAATACAAGGATGTTTCATATATATGATCACAAAATAAGAGTAAGAAAATATGAAAGAGCAAAGTCATCACACAAAGAAAATATGGCCTTAGGTTACATATATATATATATTTTTGGTTTTACGAGACAGGGTTTCTCTGTATTGTTTTGGAGGCTGTCGGTCTAGCCCAGCCTCGAACTCACAGAGCTCCGCCTGCCTCTGCCTCCCGAGTACTGAAACTAAAGGCGTGCGCCACCACCGCCCGGCCTCTTAGGTTATATTTTAATAGTACAACATAATTAATTTTAAATCTAAAGCAACACTAATAATAGACAAATAGTGGTCTTAACCAATATAATTAAGAGTATAGGATATTTTAAGTTTCTAATTCAATAAATAGATGATTTGTAAATTACCCAGATGACCCTCAACTAAAGAGTGGAGTACTGCTCAGCAGAAAAAAAAAAAAACAATGGAATCTTGAAATTTGCAGGCAAATGGATGGCAGTAGAAGAAACCATACTGAGTGAGGTAACCCAGTCACAAAAAGAAAAACTTGGTATGTACTAACTCATATATGCTTTTCAAATTGAGGCAGGGGATTGTCAGCCTACAACCCCACCGTCAGAGAGTCTGGGAAACAGGGAGGACCATAAGAGAGATATGCATGGTATTCCTGAGAAGGGGAAGGGGATGGAATCTCCTCAGGTGATTGGGAACATGTGATGAGAGGGGAAAGGAAGCTTCGAGAAATAGAGGGGGAGAAGAGGAGAAGAGTACATGGGGGAATAGCAAGGTTGAATCAAGGATCCACTATAGGTTTGAGAATAGATCTGGCACCAGGGACATTTTCAGAGACCTAAAAGGATGACACCAACTGGCAAACTAACCAATAGTGGAAGACTACCTTAAATGCCCTTCTCCAATAATGAGACTGATGACTACCTTATATGCCATCCTAGAGCCTTTGTCCATTGACTGATAGAAGCAGAGGCATACACCCACAGGTAATTACTGAACTGAACTCCTGGCAACCAGTGACAGAAAGGGAGGAGTGATCAGCAAAGGAGTCGCGACCTGGCTAGTGAAACCCACAGAGGCAGCTGACCTGAACAAGGGGAAGTCCTTGGACCCAGACTGGTGATTGAGAGACCAGCATGGGACTGACACAGACCCTCTGAATGTGGGTGTCAATGAGGAGGCCTCGACAATCTATGGAGCCTTGAATAATAGACCAGTATTTAGCCCTGTGGTACAAGTGGACTTTGGGAGCCCATTCCAAATGGAGGGATGTTGTCTCAGCCTTCACTTATGGCGAGGGCCTAGGCCCTTCCTGGGTTAATATGACAGACTTTGAAGATTTCACCATGGAGGGTCTCACCCTCCCTGGGAAGCAGAGGGGGGATGGGGTGAGGGTTAGGGGTGGGCAGGGGAAGAGGGGAGGGTGAGTGAGCTGGGATCAACATGTCAAGAAAGGTTGTTTCTAATTTAAATAAAATCAATTGCATTGCTTTCCACTACAAGATGACGGAAAAATCACAGTATTATCAAATTTGTTGGCAATTACCAGCTACAAATGAGGATATTGGTGGCTGTTAAGTAGACTTGTAGGTAAAGATGTTTTCCTTGTGACTTTTTTTCTGTATTATGAACATGTTCTTGAAAGTTAGGATTAGACCTGAACATCTCATCTATTCTATTTTTCATCAGTTAGCATAATTTTGGAGAAACAGTTTAGTCTGTAACTCCATATTTGTAAAGTCCTATAAAACGTTTATGTGCTACAGAATCAATCCTACAGAAGGTTTGAATTTAAGCAGTTTCAAAATGGTAGCCCAGGGTCTAAATACAGACACCTTGCAGCAGTAGATGCTGTTTTCTAAAGAGTAGGTGTGTACATTCTGTTCCCATCAGGCCCTAACAGATCTTAGTTCATTCTCCCAGGCATAGTCACATAGTCTTTTGCTATATTAGTTTCAGCAGTCATTTCCATTTGTGATGCTTGCGATAAAGCAAAACAAATATAACCCAGTCAAGAAAGATACCCAGAAACTTTCATTAGAATACATGGCCTGAGTCCAGTTCATGATGAGGCATTTCTTTATAAGAAATTATATAAAACGTATTTGGTTGGACTAAATTGCAGGTACATACATATATATTTGTAGACATATGTATGTAATCTAAATATAGTTATGATAATTAGAGGTAATATTACTCCCCTTGTCCAAAACCTATGGACTAAGAAAAATCTCAGTACTTCACACTATAAACCTCCATTCCAGTGTTTGGTCATAGGAATCCAAGAGATTACCCAGGCAATGTATGTTATTGCTGTTTCCCATGGTTTCCTCCCAGAAATTAAATATAAGTCCCTATTACTAAAGATACAATGTACTTTGGAAACAGGGCTACAGGGAATCCAGCTGGATCTATTGGAAATGTTTCTCTTTCAAGACTCGCTTTCATAGTATATGCAAATGCTATGTAATCTGCCAAGGGAGAAAAACAACCAGTAGTTCTATACAGCTCTAATGCCTGTAAGCCAGAATAATGACCACGACAGCAGGATATCCATAGAGGTACAATAGTGACATACATAATTGGGGGATAACCAACAGTTGTCTAATTAGACTTTGCAACTGCCTAGCAGAAGGGATCCTATGCCTGCTTTCTGAAACATAGCCAAGTACTCTGAGCCAGTGAGGTCATCGATCTCAGAGAAGAACTTCTTACAGCCACTTAATTAAACAGTAACATTCCCAACATCATTCTAAGCACTTATACCCACAAATATGTACAGTTCAAAGAAGCTTCTCTTTGCAACAGATAGACACCTTTACAGAAAACAACTGGGCCAAATGCAGAGAACTGCTGAACATGGGTTTTCTAGGGCTAATTACTACAACTAAATCTCAATATCAGTGCCTAAGGCTTAGGAATATTTCAGAAAAGGGGCAGAGAAAGCTAGAGGATCAAGAGGTCACTTGTGAGCTGTATGTCTTAGAAATGAAAGGCAAGCTACTTCCATGATTCAACTTGACTGTCTAAACAATAGCCAAACAAAGCAAACAATGATAGACATGCTAATGTAGAAAGGGGACAATAATAAGAGCTACAGACAGTTAATGACTAAAGGGAGAAGAAGAGTTAATCTTCTACATAGTTAAGGCTCCTAATTGGTGGTCCAATGTCAGTGGTCAACATGACAACATATATACATACCAGCAACATTAAACAGACATGTGAGGTTGTATATATGAACATATACATATATTTTGTATCTATCCATATATATGTAATAACAGTAATTAAAGAAAAATGAATAATAATATAAGTTTGTCATTGCAAGTTGGTAAATTACAATTATGTCTTTAAGATACATTTTTAATCAAACTTGTCAGTGAAGTGTATAGCCATGCTTTTTAAAAGAATACTCAGGTGAACGAATGGATGTAGAAATATGACTACAGGAATCAGCATTTCAAATTGAACTATCACTTATAAAACTAGCTGTCTTTTATATCTTTGTGTCTTTGTCTGTCAATGAAACATGTATTGTTTTTACAAAAGAGTAGATTTGGAGAATATGTTGAGTAAAGTAATTATCAGTCATATATGATAGGAATACCATTCCTAATCTCTTACCTGGGTAAAGAAGGGTTCATAAATCTCTACACCTTTGTCAGATCCTTGTAGCAACACTTCTTGGCCACGTCTCCAGCTGTAGCGCACAGGGGGGTTGGAATTGGCCACACATCTGAGAAACACTGTTCTCTCATAGTAGAATTGTTCCTTAGCTTCACCTATGCTTTGATGAACAGTTACTACAGGATCATCCAAGTCTAGAAGAAATAAAAACAGGCAAGTGACAATATTGCAAGATGAACAACTTCTAAAGCATTGCAAACTTATGCCCAGGCCAATGATGTATGCGTCTACTAATGGCAGTGATTTTAGTGTTTGATTAAGCTTACCAAAATCAATAACAAAGAAATTTTCAACCTAATAAAAATGTAACATTGATAGTTCCCTCAAATTTGTTGAGACAGTACAGAAACTTACATTTTTCTACCTCCTTTCCAGCAGCCACTTAGGAATGATTTCATGAAAGTGAACAAAATCTAAGTGGCCAGTTCTGAAAACACATGCAATTAATGTTATATGTACTCATAGGTTATTTTTTAGGAACACACACACACACACACACATATATATACATTAAATTTATTGCATAATGAGTATATTCAGTTATTAACAATTAATGAGAAAGCAGGCCATGAATTTACAGGAGAGTGGGGAGAGTCATATGGGAGGCTTTGGAGGGAAGAGAGGGAAGAGAGAAATGTTGCAATTAAATTACAATCTCGAAAAAATCCAGAGACAAAGAGACAGAGAGACAGAAAGACAGAGAGACGAAGACAAAGAAAAATCAAAGCACTGAAACTGAACTCAACCAGCATATACTCTTAGGAATGATGTAAACACTTGTTATTACTTACCATCACAGCCCACTTAATTTCCTTCCATCTATATAACTCTGAAAGACTATTTATCTTTAGTGATCTTCCTTATCAGTGAAATGATATTATGTTACTTAGGATTTTGGAGGATTAATAAATGAGGTAGCTCATAAAACATGGCATTTGTGTATAGAAGGGCTACTTTTTTTGGTTAATTCTGTATCTAACCACTTCACTGAAAGTTTTATTAGGTGTAGGAATCTTCTGGTAGAATGTTTGGAGTCCCTTATGTATATTATCATATCATCTGTGAATATTCATCGATATTTTAACTTCTTCCTTACAATTCATATCCATTAGATCTCCTTCAGTTATTGCTTTAGCCAGAACATCAAGAACTTTATTGAATAGAAACTGAGAGATGGAAAACCTTGCATTGTTCCTAATTCTAATGGAACTGTTTTGTGTTTCTCTTCATAATTTGATATGGGTTATAGGTTTTTCAATAAACAGCCTTTATTATGTTGAGATATGTTCCTTGTATCACTATTCTTTCTAAGAATTCTATCATGTAGGGGTGTTGGATTTTGTCAAAGACTTTTTCAGTACCTAATGAAGTGATCAGGTGTTTTGTTTCATTCAGTTTGTTTATACAGTGGATGCTGTTGACTGATTTACTTGTGTAACTGTCCCTGCACCTCTGCTATGAAGCCTACTTGATTATATTGGATGATCTTTTTGATGTGTTCTTTGATTTGCTTTGTGAGTAATTATTTGAGTATGTTTGCATCTATTTTCATGAGATAATTGGTCTGCAATTCTCTTTCTTTCTTTGGTCTGGATATCAGAGTGACTATAGCCTCATAAAATGAATTTGGCAATATTTCTTCCGTTTCTATTATGTGGATAATAGAAGCTAAGATGAAAACAAAAGTGACAACTCATGCTGGTGAGGATGTGGAGCAAGGGAAACACTCTGCCATTGCTGGCGGGAGTGCAAACTTGAACAGCCACGATGGAAGTCAATATGGCAGCTTCTTGAAATATGGAACTATAGCTACTTCTAGATCCAGCTATACCACTCTTGGGCATATAACCAAAGGATGCTCCATTCTATCACAAGGACACATTCTCAACTATGTTCATCGAATCTTTATTTATAATAGCTAGAAACTGGAAACAACATAGATGTCTCCCAACAGAAGAATGCATAAAGAAAATGTGGTACATTTACACAGTTGAGTGTCATGAAATTGGCAGGCAAATGGATAAAACTAAAAAAATTCAACCTGAGTGAAATAACCCAGACCCAGAAAGACAAACATGGTATATACTCACCTGTAAGTGGATATTAGCTGTTAAGTAAAGGATAATAATCATGCTACAATCCACATACACAGAGAGGCTAAATAATAAGGCAGTCCCTAGGTGATATGCATGAGTCTCCCTGGGAAGAGGAAATAGAATAGATTTTGCAGGGGTGGGTGGGGATGTGAATAGCCCAAGACACTATAGGGAGCTCATGTCTGGTCAAAAAATAAAATGCCAACTGAAGGGAGCAGATTCAGAGACTCACAGTCAAACATTGGGTGGATCTTGGGGGAATCCTAAGGAAGAGGAAGAGAAAGGATTGTAGGAGTCAAAGGGTTTAAAAATACCACAGGAAATAGCCCACAGAATCAACAATGCAGAGCTCATAGGGGCTCACAGAGCCTGAAGCAGCAATTAGAAAGCTGACATGGGTCTGAGCTAGCTACTTTGCATATATGTTATGGTTGTTTAGCATGGTCTTCTTGGAAGACTTGTAACATTGGGAGTGTGGTATCTTTGACTCTTTTGCCCGCTTTTGGAACCCTTTTCCTCCTCCTGGGTTGTCTTGTCTAACCTTGACATAAGGGTTTGTGCCTAGTGTTATTGTAACTTACTATGCAATGTTCAGCTGAAATCCCTGGTAGGCTTGCTATTTTCTGAAGAGAAATGGAGGAAGAGTAGATCTGGGGAGAGGGGAGGTGGGGGGAGCAACTGAAAGGAGTTAGGAAGGGGAAATGGTGGTTAGGATGTAATATGTGAGAGAAGAATAAATTTAAAAACACTCACAAGAACACAGTAACAAGTCAACACAGTTTAGTCTTTACTATCAATATGTAATTGTCAGTACTAGGGCCTTTTCTTAATAACTCCCATTGATTGCATGTGTTCACCAGCCTTTATCTCATGACCCTGTATACTCTCAACTCTTATTATAAGTGAGTACAAATGAATCATTTGGCCATTTTTTTCAGGCTATCAAAGACTCCAGATGACATATGCTTTTAAGTGAAAGCCTGGAGAAAAGCTACAATGTGTACATATGCATAATAAAAAAGGATGTGAGCATATGGGACATGGCATGCTTTAAAAGTTACAGCTCCTGAGGATAGATGATTTTGATGTATAAAATAATAAAAAGCCAACATTACTAGTGAAGTTATAGCTAGTTATGGAGCAAAAAGAAAAACAAGTCAGAAGGCAAAATTCCTCAATTCTTTTGAAAGTCTTTAAAAATGTGAATTTTACATGACAGTCCCACTTTGATTTCTTGTTTTGCAACATTCTAAGTTTTTTCTTTAAATTTCTTCCAACATTAGAATCTTTTCACAGCTACCTCAGAGGCCTCTAATTTTAGTACTGTAAATTTACAGAACAACTGCTGCTTTTTGTGGAAGATTAAGGACTGCCAGTTCAAATTCACTCTAGTGTCCAAGCAGAAACACATGCTGTCTGATCCTAATAAGTTGGGATTCTGGGGCTTCTCAAGCTTATGAAATATTCACAGAATTATTAGCTCTTCACATAAACCTAATCCAACAGCAGACTGGCAAACTGAATTCAGTTTAGCCACTTGGATAAGGGACTATGTGATTGTGCACATTTTATTTTCTTTCTTGTTAAAAACGTTTCCCTCAGAATTAGCCAGTAACAATTGGCTGATGACATGACAATGATGGCTCCCTGTCTCTGAATCATTAATAGCTACATTACTTTCCTTTTATTCTTGTGATGAAATACACTGACAAAAGCAATTTAAGAGAGTTTATAGTCCCAGACAAGACACTGTTCATCATGGAGGCAGGGATGTGAGGCTATTCTGGCACAAAGATGGCACACTGATGACATTTAATTCACTCATATAAGCAGAGAGAGAAAGAGAGAGAGAGAGAGAGAGAGACAGAAAGACAGAGAGAGAGACAGAGAGACAGACGGAGAGACAGACAGACAGACAGACAGACAGACAGAGACAGAGTCAGAGAGAGTAGGAAGTGAGAGGAGGCTATAAAACTCCCAAAAACCTGCCCCTAATGACATATTCTTCCAGCTAATCTTAACTTCTTAAAGCTACCACAACTTCTGGGAACAAGTGTTCAAACACACAAGCCTAAGGAGACATTCACATACAAACCAAGCAACAAGGTTTTCCTTTCCTGTACCCCCTTTCAGAAATATTCCTAGCTCTTCTCTTGTTTGGGATGACGTGATCAGGCCCAGGTGGGAATGACCATTATTCTCATCTGCATGAAATTTGGATCCAGGGTCACTAGCCTTTTGAGAATCTAATCTTGTGATAATAGCTTTCTAAATAATCTATTGGAAGAGCTTCTGTCAGAATCATCCATGATTTTCTTTTAAAGTTAAAATCAGCAATCCTGACTTTATACAGGCAAATAAAGATTTATAAAGGCAAATCAAATGTTAGAATTAGAATGCAAATACATATATATGTATATATATATACATTTTAAATATATTCTGTGTGTAAACACCAATTAAGTAATACACATATATCACTTAGGCACATATTAATATACATTTGGCATATACTACATATTCATATACTCATTAATCCATATTTACTTATTAATAAATTCTGAATACAATATTTTTTATAGGTGAAATGACATATATAAGAAACTAAGAGATGTACCAATATAGAAAATGTACTGGGCAACATCTTCAAAGCCAACATTGTGGCTCAATTAATTCTTTTCCCACCAGGATATAGGACCTTTGAAAACACAAGCAGTGTTGGGACGGCAATGATTTCTAGAAAGGGAATTGGCTGATAATCAACAGCTGCAATACTCTCAGCAGCAAGAGGAATGAGAGCAAGAGATCTGGCTTTGAACTAGAATAACTACTCAGGTCTACTTGTGAGATGTGATGGCTCTAGCTGAAAGAAGCTAAGCCAGGATTCTGGGTCATCTCATTTCATGGAAGAAATTTCTGCAAGAATGTCTGGTGGGATCACATCCATCATCTCCTTGTACTATTATTTCTCAAGAACTCTCACACCTTGGTCTTGCATATTATGTTACATGAGCAACTTTCCTAGTATGGTGTTTAGA